GGTGTAAAATTTATAAACAGATCTAAAACTAACCGGTCCAAACTTACCGATAAGCGTATCATCCGGTTCATTCACATTCTGCACCAATCGGCTTAGTAATCTAAACACCAAAGCTAGCACGTCTAGGCTAGCATCAGACTTGATAAAAACCGGCAAACACGCAGGCCTCAGTAGCCCCCATATTCGAATGAGGACCAACATTTCTCGTAACATATTCAAAGCCTTCACGTCCCTTAATAATTCGTATGGTTTTCCAGTAACAGGTCTGCTGTCAGGCAACTTCACCAACAAGTTTAAGGCCAAGTCAGCGACCCACTGGATCAGCTGCTGCAGGCTCTGTAATGTTGTAGTTTCAACTGTGAATTCCTTAGCTTCCAGGTGCATGAGAGCCTTGTCAACATCACTCTGGCCTTCAGCAATCACAGCTAAAAAAATGTATTCATTTTTAATTTTTTCGTTCTCACTTCACAACTATCAAGCTGTGTACTTACTTGCTAATGAATCCGCTGGACTTTTTTCATGGCTATTCATTTCGCTGGGCCTGAGCAAACTTTTAAAAGCTGTCGATATACTGTGCAGCATGAGGAAATGTGTGAGATCATTCGCTTTCGCCTGGCCTTGAAAACTTAATCTAAAAAGAATTGTAATATATTTTTGTTTCACATTCACTGTCATTTGTTTGTGGGGTGTACCAATTTTGGGCACTTTTGGGAGGTTTCTTTTATTCTCTGAGGAAATAGTCAAAAAGTAACCAATACCAGCATGCAGGATTGATTTTCGAGAAAAAATTTATGGTGAAAACACATGAAGACATTCTGATTTGTTTAAAACGCATGCAACAGTTTTCATTTTTGGTTGTTTCTTTGTGATGTTTTTTATTATTATTTGGATAACTTTTCCTTTTTGGGAAATTATCAAATTCTGTACAGAGACAGACGTTTATTACATGAAATAAATAAGTGCTAACATTTTTATCACACATTTAACTCATCAAAAGCAACAATGAAAAAATTATTTTTGCGTATATGAGCAGAAACGTTATTTTATTGTATTTTAACTGTTTGTTGACAATTAAATGTGTCATGGTTATATCTGATGAAATAATATATTATGCCGCAATGAATTACAAAAGAAATATTTTCTTTGTGTAAATATTATGTGTATAGCTGTTTTACATTGACAATTTATTGATCAATTAATTCATGAAGTCGCTTCATCAAGAAATTGGACAAGTGTAATGCGCCAAATCTGCTGTCAAATAACTTCATGAATTTATTCATCAAGTTCTTGTCTTGACGAATTAGAGCATAGCATGTTCTAATTTTCGTCAATTTCTTCGTGAAGTTCAGAAGTACCAACCCAACAGAATAAGGTTATGTTATTGGAATATGTAAATAATTGTGTGGCGTCGTACTAGTTTTGCATTGTTTTTACTGATTTGTTACTTACAAAAACTAATATTTATATAATATGTGTCAGAACGGTACCGTTGTTGTATCACTACAATTATGAGTGGAAACATTTTTGAAATTTATTTGCTTCTTTGATTCATTGGTAGAACTGATTCATATGTCAAAAAACTTGACAAAGTTTGTAACAGTGTAAAACCACACTGTTTACCAATAAATTTGTGAATTAATTCATGAAGAACTTCGTCAATTTATTTATGAATAAATTGTTAATGTAAAACAGCTATAAGCAATGTGTTTAAAAGGAAATTTTAATCAGGTTTAAAAATCAAAAAATGTGAAGATATTTTTTAAAACTACCTCACTGCTGAGCCTCACTGCTTTTTCCTCTAATTTTTTTCGCTGTCTGCGCGGTACAAGAGTATACGGAAGCAAAAATGTTCAAAACGTTTGTAAATGTGTGCAAGTGGGGAGGGGGGTCCCATGCCTGTGTTTGAAGTGAATTTTTTTTAATAAATACTCTTGAAAATTACATTTTAAAGAATTTTAATAACACACAAACAAGAAAGGATTTTTACATTGTCTTTGTTTATATTTTTTCTTTAATAGAGGAAGATCTATGTTTGAACGACATTTTACGATAAACATTAAAATTGAATTTCATTTGTAAATGTTAATAAGAATGTGTTTAGTGGATAACGTAAATGTAATGTAAGTAATGAAAACTTTTATTATATTACGATATTAAATGTAGAATAATCATTAAACAAAGTCTCAATAATAATTAAATTATTATATAATTAATATCTATTATTACAATGCAAATTATCATATTATATAAATTAATTAAGTATATACAAGGCAAACCACAAACTATTTAGCACTTTTTCAAGGAACGCACTTCTTTCAGAAACACCCTGTATATTCACTCACTTTGCTCACATAATTAGGATTATCATATCCAGCACACTCACCACAAGCTACATGGTGGTGATGACTTTTCTATTTTTATTATTGAAAAATTACTTGAATGTACCACTTTGAGCACTTAGCAGCAAAGTTCCCTTTAAGGTGCGCGGATGCGCGATCGCGCACAAATTTTTTTAGTTGCGCAGCCGTTTTTGTATTTATGCTTTTGAGGCTGTCGTAAACGTCATATTTTGTTTTATATCGTCGAGCTATACCCCAAATTAAATACGTTTGTACGTAGTCCAGAAGTAGAGATAATGAAGATTTTGAAAGTAAGAGCGCTTTTGAACGCGCGAATTCAATTTTCGGAGCGGCTGAGTGGTGTTACTCCCACAGATCAAAATGTCTTTTCTTGATCTGTGGTTACTCCCACTCCGTTGCCCGCTACAGTTCACGCCGCGCTCGAATGCTTTGGTTTGGCGCACAATTAAAAATGTAGAAGTGGCTAAAATGAACCACAATATTTTTTTATTGAAAATATAAGTCTTCAACTTCAATCTCTGTAAGAATGGACGTTGTAGCACTTAAAAAGCGGCCTGTGGAATTTTTTGAAAAACAAAATTATTTCGGCTCCAGGAGGTCGTAGAGCAAAGCAACGTTTTTTTTTTAAATTCGCGTAAAAATGCCAGCAATCGATTCCTGTAACAGACATTATCGAGAAATGAAAATCGAAAAGGATATTCAAGAAAGACGCGACCAAAAAATTTATACTTTTTCAAAATCATCTTTGGACACTTGAAATGAATAAAATCGTTATCACTCTTTTTTACCATGAAAGTACAACTCTTAAGGAAAAAAATGAGCCCTGATTTGTTTCTCTATGACTATTCATCAAGCAAGAAGAGCCGATTTTTGAGATAACCTTTTTTTCGAAAAATCGNAGAAATTTGTAGCTATTAAAAAAATTTAACGATTCGTATTTTTAAATATATCAATTGCTATATTACTTTTCGAGATATATCGAAAAAACTGTCAAAAATCGACTTTTTTTTATGTTGCCGTATCTCCTGCAAATTAATGTTTTGATACTTGTTACTTGCTGTAAATGTAGCCCTCGGCAAACAAAAAAAGTACTTTTTTAGAATAAAAAATATTAAACATTTTTCGAGTTATATCGATTTTTCGAAAACAAGGTACTTTGTCTCGAAAATCGGCTCTTCTTGCTCGACAAATAGTTGTAGAGAAACGAATCAGGGCTCATTTCTTTCCTTAAATATTTTTTCTTTAAAAATACGAATCGATAGGTTTTTTCAATAGCTACAACTTTCTCATAAAACTTTTTTTGATTGGAGTTTTAAGTTTTTTTTATTAGCGAAAACTCGTTTTTTTTTACTTTTATGAACTTTTTAGGTTAACTTCGCCGTTTATGCGCCACAGGAAAAATACACTATCTTTCTTAGAATTTTTTTTTCTATATCACCATATTTTTTGTTTCCAGGTGGTATTTCTTGTAAGCTCTTCTACCTATTGATTGGACTAAATGCCTCATCTATAAAAATCCAGAATTGTCCGTAAAGAACTATGATTTATATTTCTTATATGAATAGCTATTAGGATACCTCTTTCAATGCTATATTTATTTATTGTACAATTTAATCATATTTTCAAGAGTTAACCATTTTAAAAACAAATGTGTAACATTTAAAAGAGCACTAGAAAGGTAGGTAAGTTAGCATTCACAGACTCGACTTTCTGCTCATGCCTGTAGCATATGGCCCTGAGAAGTATGCTCCTTCTCGGTCTGGTTGATAAATATATAATTTTTCAATAAAAATCTGTTCCGCTCATGATTAGAAATGCAATTCGATTTTATGATATACCTTGTATAAAAAGTTTCAAAAGACAACTGTCCAGAGAACATGAACATTTTTCACAGAATGACTACAATAAATGAATGTAAAATAATAAAAAAAAAACTGACCCTCCCGGAATTCGATCATTCAACGTCCAAGTGAAAATAAGTTAGTAAGCGGACCTTCTTGGGTCTGCATCATGAATCTTCTCACAAAACTCTTCTTATATTGACACATTTCAATGTCGAACTCGTCACGGACATAATTTTGAATTCTTAAATGAAGTTCTTCAGCTATACAATTCTTCATAAGAGACAGACAGAAGAGAACAGACAAACAAAAACTACCCAAAGTGCCAAGTATGAAATTCGTTTTGATGTTATTATTGTTGGTTGTGGCGGGTATTTTTTAAAATGTTTTTATAGAACTTTAAAAAAATAGAATAGAGATTTAGGGTGCCATCTGCTATTTAAATAACAGAAAAATCAGATTTGGGATGCTGGGAGTGAGTTTGGTTAACACTGGATGTAAAAGAGTATGAGTTAGATATGAATGTAATTTTGCGACACAAGTTCTGTCTCTAAATTTCGTTCTGTGATTGATTTTGATGATTGCGCCTGCTACGACTCTTATCTCATTCTTACCCCCGTGTAGTTATAAAAGAAATTTGTATAAAAAATGTATACTAGAATAACTAAAAAATATTGGTACAAATGAATGAACTGGGTGCATAAACACTGACATGCAAATACACTACAATTGTCTGTTGATTTGGGCGTTCAAACGATAGTGAAAAAACAATGTAATAACAGTTCGATTTATGTTTATATATATTAATTTGACATGACTAGACTTTAAGTAATACCTGACTAATGTTGATGGACAAAACTTAGACTCTACTGTAACTAAAATGATAAGAAGAATATGTCATACATTTTTCGACCAACACTTGGTGAATGAAGTATACTCGAGCTTGCGATGTCTCTGGGAGTCGGCAACACACATACAACACAACACTAGGAAACGGGAGGTAGGTTTTTTGTAAATGAAAAGACCGATTGTTAATGGAAAGAACACTTTGAACCCAGTGACGGCGTGCGCGAGCTCTAATATAAAACCGCATCGCGATTTTTCGGACTTATTCTGCTATAGGCATGCTCAAGAGCACTTATCATGACAATGTTTTCACTGACATTTGCTTCCACCTTCATCCAAACATGGATTATACTTCGTGTATCCTCTCACAATGAAAATTTTAGATTTTTTGATGAGGTTTCTTTGAATGAAAATTTACCTTAGAAAATGTGAGAAAATTTCAACAAAAATATATCTATTAGCTAGAAGGATCCCTGGGGCCACATGCCCTCATTTTGCCGCTTTGTGGATCACAAAGAAGCCCTAGAAGAGTATGGAAAATGGTTCTTTTCAGAAGTCAGCGTGGGTAAGAAANGCGCCTGCTACCACTCTTATCTCATTCTTACCCCCGTGTAGTTATAAAAGAAATTTGTATAAAAAATGTATACTAGAATAATTAAAAAATATTGGTACAAATGAATGAACTGGGTGCATAAACACTGACATGCAAATACACTACAATTGTCTGTTGATTTGGGCGTTCAAACGATAGTGAAAAAACAATGTAGTAACAGTTCGATTTATGTTTAATTTGACGTGACTAGACTTTAAGTAATACCTGACTAACGTTGATGGACAAAACTTAGACTCTACTGTAACTAAAATGAAAATGATAAGAAGAATACGTCATACGTTTTTCAACTAACACTTGGTAAATGAAGTATACTCGAGCTTGCGATGTCTCTGGGTGGCACCTGGCTTCTTTCTACCCTGAAGATTGCAATGTTAATCCTTTGGGAGTCGGCAACACACATACAACACAACACTAGGAAATGGGAGGTAGGTTTTTTGTAAATGAAAAGACCGATTGTTAATGGAAAGAACACTTTGAACCCAGTGACGGTGTGCGCGAGCTCTAATATAAAACCGCATCGCGATTTTTCGGACTTATTCTGCTATAGTCATGCTCAAAAGCACTTATCATGACAATGTTTTCACTGACATTTGCTTCCACCTTCATCCAAACATGGATTATACTTCGCGTATCCTCTCGCAATGAAAATTTTCGGATTTTTTGATGAGGTTTCTTTGAATGAAAATTTACCTTAGAAAATGGGAGAAAATTTCAACAAAAATATATCTATTAGCTAGCCTGAACTGGGGCCACATGCCCTCATTTTGCCACTTCGTGGATCACAAAGAAGCCCTAGAAGAGTATGGAAAATGGTTCTTTTCAGAAGTCTGCGTGGGTAAGAAACCTACAATATTCGATTTTCGAATAATCGAATTCGACACAAAAATTTTTTAGAACTGGATGAAAAATCTGCAAATTAGCAGCACTATATGGTTGTCCTCGGGCATACTCAAATATGCAATACATTTATGAACTTGACTTATGACGAGTTAAGTGTCTGACGTCATTAAAAAAAAGCAGTTATGATACTTTTAGTTGTAATACCAACTTACTAATTATTAAATATATCTACAAAGCAAGTATTAATAATACATTTGTTTAATTTGAGTAAACTGTAAATTTACCTGTACAGTGATGTTTTTACACACAAATATTGTACATAGAAGAACTGTTGCACTGAAGTGGGCTGTCTATTAAAGCTCTCTGTTAGTCTGTCACAAAGAGCGTCCAACATTCCAGGTCTGAGAACCAATAATAAATCCAACCAGTCCAAACCACTAACCAAACAATATTCTAAAATAGTCGTACAGTATGGCACACTTAAAGGAGCTGAGCTTTCGATTTGTGGGGGCAACTTAAACAAATGCAAACTGTCGTCTGAGTCAACAACTAAAAGCATGTTACCCAGCCATGACATGTCTATATTTAATATTTTCGTGTTCACTTTCTGGTACTTGGCGTTGGGCTCTTCTAGGTAACGTGGTGTCATCGACAATGTCGTACTGCATATGGGTTTGAGTGTGTCTCTGTACAGACAGTAGATAGTGTTGTCCGCGANAAGCAATGATTTTTTTTATGAAATTCACCCCATTTCATCCCCCCGTACGGGATGACGAATGAATCTGTAATCGTTAGTCATTATAATTACTTATTTACTATCGATATATGCTAAAATAAAAACAGTCGAAGACACATTATAAAGGAGCAATGTTTTTTTTTACAAAATTTTTGAGGCGACGACTTTATCGATTCTAGTCCTACTAGAAAATGTGGATGTAGATAACTTCACACCCGTAATTTAAAATATCATATAATAAAAACATAAATTTGATAAATTCGGGATGTAACTTTAAGAAAGGTCAGTTTTTAGCAGCTATAGAATACCATTCTGAAAAAAAAATTTAATTGAATAAATAAACACTATTTATTCATTTATACATTTTTTAACCAGTTTTAAACTCTTGTCTATATTTCTTTCCTTAACTCGCTTGTTTTTGTTGCCTATGGTTACCTTTTTAAAACCAACATATGGAAGTATTGCAGTGGCAGAGAGTGAAATTTAAATGGGAAATAATTTTGTCAAAACAGATTGCTTTTTATGACTTTGTGACTTGTCAACAAGAGAATCCGTGTTGGGAGAGCATTGGCCTTCTATAGCCTATATTAGAGAGATCCCCTGAGCAATGTCACCACCTTTTTCTCTGTAATAGGTTGATTAGCGGTTCGGGTGGATTGATCTCCTAACGGGAGGAAGTACAAGGGGCCCAATGGGGCCTAAGTGCTGTAGGTTTTTAAGCTACCCTCCCTAAAATTCCAGATTCCAGATTCCAGATGACTTTATGACATGTTATTTTATGTTAAATCAGTTGAAAAAAATTTAATATTTTTACAAAAGGACCACACACTAATTATATTAAAAAGTGGTGAACCAGTTGCTGGAACAGATCAGATGCACATGTAACCCATTTTGAGGTTGGTTCTTGGCCATTGGAAGATGGGTGTGGGCTGGAATAAGTTTTATATACATTTAACCCCTTTTTGGGGCAGTTTTTGGCCGCTGTGAGGGGAGAAGATCAAAGGTGCGGTATAACACAATATTCATGGGTTTTACCTTATAAATAAAATAATGATATTTTTCAAAAGGCGTTGATTTTAAATTAATATTGAAAGTAAGTTTCTTATTTGTATTTCAAAAAAAGTTATTTTTAAGAGAAAAATATTGAACAAAAAGTTATATTTTGTTTTTCTATATGCTAATATTAATGACCAATATCAATAATCTGCATTAATACTGCTATCACCAATATACCAATATTAGAATTTGTCAGTCCCTTAATGAACAACTCAATTGACTATGACATGTACAGCTTAACTTACCACTGTGTTAAAAAACTGAGGGCTTTCAGAATTACCCAAAGATTTATGTACAGGTAAAGCTTTTTCCCTAAGCTCCCATACTTGGAGACAACTCATTTTATCACTACTTGCCGTCACAACCAAAGAGTCTGCATCTTCCCTCATTATCCATTTGATATGACTCACTGTACATTTATCTTTCGATAACTGATCCACTAAAAAATAAATTCTCGTGATTATCATTAAACATAATATACAACATGAATTGTTTGATTTAAATTTAAAATGAAAAGGAAATTGAATTTTACTTACTTAAAGCTTCTTTAGGGGCTTCAAATAAGAAAAAACTAAGTAATGATTGGCTGGTAATGACACATTTGTCTTCTACTCTTTTAACAGAGACATTATAGCACTGAATGGGCATCGAAGGATCTCCATTGCTCACAGCCAACAGAAAATGTCCATCTGAAAGTATCATATATATGCATCTGCTATAGATACAGAAACATTTCATTCGTGAACCAATTGATAATCGATCTTACTTTTGCCGTAACATATATCTGCAGTTTTGACATAAATACGAGTAGGGCCCAAACTCTCCGTGGCGAGTAACATTGGGGTTTGGCTTGTGTATTGGGGTAGAAGAATCGCTGCCAACATTCCGGTAGTCGTTAACAAGAGAGCGCCGCTGGTAGGTCTGCCTCCGAATTGTTTCACAGAACAGGCAAACTTCACATGTTGAAATTTTTCGATGTATGAGGAGCAATCCTTCTTTTCTGAATTCAGACAAATCTGTAAAGAAATAATGTACCTATAAGTGTAAACGATAGAAAAATTTATAAAAGGCAACTACCCTTTTGCCTGAATGGAAAAATGCAGCAGCCAAAATATGCTCTCCTTGCAATGTAGTTTGTAGAACCAACGTCCAATCATTTAATATATAGTCCTTTGTACGGTAAATTCGAACACAGCCACTTTCATCTGCTATCAGTAATAGTTCACCTGTGAAGTCCCATTGTAGCACTGTCACTGGTGAAGAATTGCACAAAATTCTAAAACAAATAAAATCAATTAACTGTAAAAAAAATATACATACTTACTTATGAACTTGCCATGGACTGTTTAAATCTGCTACATATACGTTTGAACTCCAAAATAAGGAATTGGTTTCCTCTATATTACTCTCAGTACTAAATGCCACAACATTAGTACAGGAAATAGAACAGAGTACAGATTTATCAAGCCTAAAATTTAAATATTTAAAAATTACAGATGGTATTATGTTGGAAATCTTACTTGTTGAATATATTTTGTTTGTAGGCATGGATAGTCTTATTTGGTTTTTTGCCTATTGAAAAAATGTGGTCCATTTTAATTATTATATGATATCTTTTCTGTAAATAGTTTGGAAATACTACACTATTCACTTCAAATACATAATATTTTCATTTTTCAATTTCCTTCACAACAAACTTTTTCAAGTTTTTTGACAGACTGTAAAACTGTGACAATTTGACTTGACTTTGACTTGACAGTCACTACCATGGACCATGGAAACTACACAGTCGCTACATTCGAGTACATTCGCTGTTAGAGCAGCGTTTAGGGAGGTATTTGGAGCGTTTGGTCCATTCTTTTTAGTATTGAATGCTTTCTTGTCAAGTATTTTCTGAACTACATGGATAACATGGGTTAAGGTTAACAAGTTTTCATGTCACATGTAATATAACAATTTTGAGAACATAAACATAAAATTTATAATTATTTTTAAATCTGTATTTTTTCAAATAAGATTCAGCGTAATGACAAGAATTCCACATGATAATTTTATCTGTTATCCTTTCCTATATAACGTAAGCAAAATAATCGCAGGTAGAATATTTTCGACAAAAAATACAAAAATAACCACAATTTAGGGTTAATCCACACTACATATAACGTAGCTAAGGATGCACGCGGCCATCGAGCCGGTGGACTGGTGCGGGGTGGGTACGTTAGGGTAGCACGGAGATTGCTCTGCGGGCTGCGGTCGCAGCTCCGCGAGGACAAGTTTTTGTAATTTGTATTTTCATGCATTCTTGGATTTGGTTGTTCCTGAAACCTGAAATTGAAATGGTCTAGCGGGGCGGGGGATGGTAGAACTGTTGGGGTGGTCACCTCGGGTCGAAGAGTTGATGTCTAGGTCGTTTGTGTTTGTCTGAGGAGGAATGGACGCGGCCGCAAGACACGACGAGATAATGCGATCACTGATTAGTTGAATAGAATCTGGTAAAAAATTAAAACAGCCCCTGAAACAGAACGTTGCGTTCCAATGTAATCTTGATTTTAATATTTTAAAAATATTTAATTTTACCGAAATTTGATAACCAATACAAAGGAAATAAAATTACTGTTCCAAATAAAATCACTAGTTACGTGGTTTGTAATCGTTTATGAAGGCTCTGTACTTCCATATTGATATCTTGCAAAGACTGCCGTAGAGCAGAACGAATGTCAAGCAAAATNATGGTTGGGTAGGGCAGTGCGGCTATGCAGCCTGGGATGCGCTTTGTTAAGGTGGCCCTTAGGCTAGCGCGGGAGGGGAGGGGAAAGGAGGGCATGGGGGGTGTGTATGTGTGTGTGGGTCGTTGTCTTCGTTTCTTGATCCTGGCATTAAGTGGCAAGGAAGGAAAATTGTGGACCATTTGGATTGGCCATGATTTCGCAGTCGCCGACTTTATGCAATCGACGCAGTCTAGGTTGTATTTATTTTCAGGGGTTGTAAAAAAAAAGCAATACCAACCCAAGGATTTTATACAATAAAATAAACAATTTGTATAAAATCCTTGGTACCAACCCAACTTTCTTTGCAAAAAATCACTAGAAGTATACGACAGAAGTGTCAAATTCAAAATGATAATTTCGTTACAAGTTTGCTTGAAAA